AATTAACTTATGGCATTTTGTATGTACTAATCGAGTATAATGTGTGAATTAACTTATGGCATTTTGTATGTACTAATTGAGTATAATGACTTGAAGTTTACCAAATTAAAGTTGCGAAACCATAATAGTGAAGACTACCTTTATCGTGACTGGTACAATTTTGTGAGTGTCACCCATGATAATGTATTACATTATATTTTTAATGATAAATATATATAAACAAATTGATTTTCCCTTGTTCACCTTAAATATTCAATTTCCATTTAAATTTGTTTTAAGAATTCCATACATATAAATACACTGTATCTACATACGTACAATAAATATATTCCCAGAAGCTTAGTTTTAATTTGTTATCGTTATACGATATTAGAAGTAATGAAATTAGTATCATGATGGATCGTCTATTCGATTACCTAAATGGATAAAAATATTGTTAGATAACTAGATAATCTGTTTATCATCAAAAAACATCTATAAACTTGATAACTGCGAAAATGGACTATCCGTTCTTTCGATTAAACGAAACAAAGCCTTAACGTTAACGAAATAAATAAATAAAGTTAATCATGTGAAACATGTAAAGTAGATCATATTTATAAATTGCGCACTACTGTCTCAATAATATATATTAATAGACAAAATTTTAACTTGCAAGAAAAACCGGCAATAGCTCAGTTGGTAGAGCGGGAGACTGTAGTGAGGAAAACCTCAACGCTGATATCTCTAGGTCGCTAGTTCAAATCTGGCTTGCCGGAACATTAAAATTTTTTTTATTTTATTTTTAATTAATACCGAAAATATTATAATTTTGACTAACTTGAATAAAAAAGTTATTAACGATAATGGTAAGGACCAATCCAAAATGTGCGTGTGTTACGAATATGGTATGTATCACGTGAGAATACTGGATACAAAGCGCGTACGTCGTTTGATTTATTCAGGTGCAAGCGCAAATTCAATTGAAAATTTGACAATTCAATCTCAAGAATTTTAATCATGATTATTTGGTTGGAATTAAGTTCATTGTGATCAGAATTTAGGTTTTTAATTATATTACTTTTTACGCACAAGTTATCGTTATTTTGGTTCATATTAAGTACAATACCTTTGAAATTTAGTTAATGAGATTAAAAATTCGCAAATCAAAATTTCTTGTAATAAACTCATTTGAAATCTACTCTTATTATTACAATACACTCGCACTATTTCATCAGGTCGTAGGTTGAAGAACAAGTCATTCAAAATTCTCTTACAAATAATATAAATATAATAGACCTAAGGTATATCAATTTTTTTCGCTATTTTTTTTCTTTTTTCCTTTAGATTTTTTTTCGTATTTTTTTTTTCATTTTTTTCGTATTTTTTTTTTTAATTTTTTTTCGCTATTTTTTTATGCTTTTTTGTATTTTTGCGCTTTATTCGATTTTTTTTCATTTTTTCACATTATTTACATATTATGCGAAATATTTCGAAATGTTTAAACGTTTTTTAAATATTTGCTCAAATAGTTATTAAAGTTTATCGTATTAATTTGAAATGCTTTATATTCATTCGTATAAATAAAAAATTTAAAAAACATCGTTCAATGAGGAGCGCGTTAACTTAAAAAATTGAAGACGCCATGTTTGCAGTCTTTGGTGAATCTCATTTAGACTCAATTAATACGAATGCGCCTCCACAGGCTGTAATGGGTTGGAAAAGTTCAGAAAAGACTAAATCCTGCTATAGGAAGCTTTTCGCTCCTATTAAAGAAGATAATTCCGAAGATAAATACATTTCGCGCAAAGTTTGGCCTAATGCTATGCCAACAAATATAAAATGGCATACACAATTACTGTATGCCAGATTATGCTAAGTGACCACTACGAGAAGTTAAAATGGCAGATGAAATTGTAAAAAATCGGTTAAGAAAAAACCTTGTAAGTAATATATAATATTAATATTTATCTGATTTTATTCGAATGTCGATTTCTATAATAAAAAGAAAAAAAAAAATCGACAAAAATCGCCCACACAGTAGATTACAGCATGATAACATGGAAAAGTCTATAATTAAGTGACGTGAATTTTATATATATTTTTTGAAGGATATTTACAATTGGAGCCTCATTCAGTGGGTGAAAATTTTATTAGAAGAGCCTCAGTTACTGAAATACATGACCATTCTGGTGAACAATGTCTACAGTCGTTATTCTACATTAGTTATGTAACGTTTTTTTTTATTGGCAACATCGTATGTTATAACAATTCCAGTGATAACGCGGTATAATTTATAATTGTTAAAATTATTAGTTATATGAGTCTAAAGTTAATGAGTTTACTACAAGATTTAACACGGTAAATAATATATGTATACTACAGGCGAAGTTATATTATATAAATAGTGAAAAAAGTTATTTATTCTTGTTATGCTAAAGGTCAATATCCAAATATTTTAGTTGAAGTTGATTTATATTATGCTACATCCAAATATTTTAGTTGAAGTTGATTTATATTATGCTACAATAAAAAGGTATTTTATTGACTGGAGTAAAGAGTGCTTGTCGTTAGTGATATGTATGAATTGTGTTTAGAGTTTCATATTCGAATAAAGCTTCCTGAATAATTATTGGCTGGGGCTGAAAGAGACGAAATAAACGAGCATTTATTACAGATTTTATCGACTAATTTCTTTGGATTTGAACATTAGGCATAAAGAAGGTAACATTATTAATCAATGCAAGATCACAAAGAACTTAAATACCAGAAAAATAGTCTTGAAAAGGCATCCCTTCATTGTCTAAATAGCACTCAAGATGAATAACTATAAGATTCAACCTCTTGCAAATTAGACCAGTACCAATTCAGCCTATTAAATAGGCATGGAGGCAAAACCAGAAATTATGTATTGCCTAAATTATTAACAATTTACCATAGATCCCGAAATTAAAAATTTGCCATACAGTATTTTTAAACTTATCAAGAATTCGTACGAATCTTGTTAGTAGATTAAGATAACCTTTTTGCAATGAACTAGTAGAAAGCATGAATTGGTTTATCCTAAAATTCAAAGAATATAATAAATTAACGTAAGACTCCAACAACCTATAAAACATCCATTTTATTAGTTATGATTGTTAAGTGAATACAGGAATAAGTGAATAATAACGCGAATAAAAATACACGTACGTACGTACGTATGTATGACATAATTTTTCGAATACAAGATACCAAATACATAGTTTTCATTATTTGTCATGTGAACTCTAATTATTGGCTGCTTTATAAAATAATCATATCTGATATCAGATACAGTGTATTAGCATTAGAAATGCAGAAATGAGTATTCCATTATGCCGCAGCAACTTAAATTACACGGAATTTTGTCTGATGCTAAATTTCCTAATTCTTTTATATTGTGATGTGTTTGACAGATTTATAAGTTTTGGTTTTTGAGATTGAGATTTTCAATTTTTTTTTCTTCTCATCTCTAGTCAAACGAAAAAAAATACGTGAACAGATTAATGCTCAATTTGCTAATAGAAAAACCCTTCAAGATGAATATAATAAAGCTAAACAAGAGTATTGGCAAAAGGTGGATGAAGATCGTCGTCAAAAAAGGGAATTACATAGAAAAAGAAAAGAAGAACAAGAATTATTAAAAAGGTCCCAAATTGCTGCTAGTAAACTAGAAGAAGCATCAGCTCCAGCTTTTCATGAAGAGATAGTTGTTTGTGAAAATCTTATTAATTACTTTCAGACTCACCATGGAGTTGGTAAAACTGAAGAAGTAATTTCTAATTCAATTCCCGATGATAGTAACTCCAATATACGTCAGCCTGATACTATCTCTAATGTTCCAGAAGGTTGTATTTTAGCAAAAAAATTTGAACGTGAAGAAGATTTATTTGGGGATATATCATCTAAAAAAGTTAAAGCTCAAAAGAAAAAAAAGACTGGCAAGACTAATGCTAATAATGCTAATAGGCTTCAACTTCCTCTCAGTATTATGGAAGATTTGATTTTCCTTAAGGTTGAAATTCCTCTTAATCCTTCTGACGTCGAAAAAGTCATTACTGAACTTAGTGAAAAGAAAAACTATTACGTCGAAAATCAAGACCGCGTGACCAAAGAAAATATTGCTAAAGCTGAGGCGGAGATCGCTGCTTTGGAAGGAAAAGTACCTAATAAAAAAGTTGATGATGAAAAATCAGAATCTGTGGTTGAAGGAACCGCCAATGGGCAAACTAATGAAGAATCTTAAATAGAATAGAAATAGAATATAATAGAATATAGTCAAATGATATTTTTATAGTTGTTTTTTTCATAATTTAATTACAAGTTTAATAATAAACAATTTCATTTATGTAGAAAATTTGTTTAATTTTTTGAATTATTATATTTCATAGATATATAGTGTCATTTTTATATTTTCACCCGAACATGTAGTAGATCATATATAAAAATAAAATCATGTATTTAGATTATTACTGTATTGTATTAGTTACACCAAGATCAGGTGATTTTTAATTCTGTAATTGCCCTGTAGTACGGATATGTCAACGCGTGTGATCTACGTGTGATCTTAGTTCATTTTCACATGTCGTTACGTAATAGTCAAGAGATATATCCTTTAATTGTGAGGAAATCGAAATTACAAACCTTTTTCTCTTTAAAAAAATTAACAACTCAAAAAAAATAATAACTCAAATACCATGTTGTTGGAGGTAAGGTTTTCGATAGTGTAAAAGATATTTTTTTATTCTTTATGTTAAACTTTCTCTATCTTTA